GGAAAATGTTTTGCTGGTTCTTTCTAGCCACATTGTTTGGTATAAAGAACCTTCAAGTTGAATTAAGATTTCAATACTTAATAAGGCAATAATATTTATATGAGTTTTTATCTTGATTTTAACCGATTAATTTGAATGGGCACTAAATGCTATAGGGGTCCGATATGAACAATTTGTTCGAAGTTTGTAGCTTTGCATTGGAAATTAATACAAAATTTCAGATCGATATCTCAAAAAGTGTGGAAAGTAGTTCGCCAGTATACACATAAACGGTCATGGTAAAATCGACTCAGCTGGTTATGTACCCTTTTTTGGCATATAACACATATTTTAAATTTTGTAGCAGGCTTACACATATGTATGTACATATCTGCGGCCCAAGGCGCTACCGGTTACACAATCTTTCTTTATCAGTTGTTGATCACACCTGCTTGTTTATACTAATATTCCTGGTGATAGAAGTAAGAGAAAGCTGTGTAAACCAAGTTCGTCCTAAATTTTTATACTAAACATACAGGGTGTTGAGTAGCTGTCTTCCAAAGATGTCATCCGGTGCCAAAAAGCTAGCAGTTAGAGAGACACTGTATACACCCTAAATTCTCAAAATAATAATGTAGACATAAATGGCTCTGTAAAAGTATGTGTGCGGTAGTAGGAAGCAGTTAGGCAAAGTTATATTGAAAAGTGGTAGCTCTTCATAGAAAGCGGCCAAAACTCTAGGCATGTACATAGCCCTTGAAATACGTTTAAGGTAAATATGATTAATTTCGTAGACGAGTTCACTGGCGTTCTTGTGTGCATTTGTGACAAGGTTACAATGAAATGAGTTTTAAAAAAGTATATGCTAAATTAAAGTTCTCTTCACTGCTCTTCAACAATGCTTGTCGCCACGTTGTCGCTTAAACGGTGCTGAAATACACAAAACAAGTAGTCATTCCTCTTCAATACCCAGAAGTGAAACTGATGACCACGCTCAAAACAACTGTTGTGTGCATTTCAGTTTTAGCTAAAAACTCAGAAATATTTGCTTGTGAATTTACCTCTTCAACATACCTCTGTTTGTTTCACTTCTCTTTCTGCTCTTTTTGCTTTAAAGAACACATGCAAGGTGAACGAAATGAAAAATAAACTTTCACTTAACAAAATACCTTTGAGTAAAATGTAAAACGACATCATTCTACGGCAGTTTCGAATTAAAGTGGTTGCTGCGCACAGCTCTGGGGTAATAGCTGAGCAGCATTGTAGAAAAATGATAAGCACATCAAGTGAGGAAAAATGCCAGCGAACAAGTAAAAAGAGCACCACAGTAGTGTTTGAGACAGATCCACGTTGAAAGAGCATAATAGAATTGTTTGTAGTGTTTTTGTTGCCTGTTTGCGGTTAGCTTGTGGCATATTCCCACCCGCTCCCTAAGGACCGTCCGAAATTCGACTTGAATGTATAAGTGAAGAATTCATCATTTATTTATTCATCCATCCACTCATTTCATCACTTGTTTATTCTAATCCGCACTCGCACTGCACTCACTTTCGCAAAGTAGCTAGCTAAATCTTGTACGCCCAGGGGATAGTAGTGTGCTATTACCAGCAGCAACGATGCTGAAACAATTTTCCAATTTAATACCAAAATAACAGAAACGAAAGAGGATAAACAAATCTGACCAATTCACTTGCAGTTCGGTAGAATAACGGCAATGAGTCTTAAAATGCAACTGTGTACAGATAGAGATACAGAAATTTTAGGAATTTAGTGATATGAGGAGAGTTTGGAAAATGTAGCAAATTTATTGCTATGCCAGTTTCGTGAATGAACTGCCTTTGGCTGTTATAATTACCGACTATTTTGGACTTCTTCTTCTGTCATGAAACGCACTTTTTCACATTGTGTATATATGTAGCTTACTCATATTATTCTCTATATTTGTCTAATTTGTTAGCTCTGGAGTAGAATCCCGACGAGGGCTATAAAAAGTATATGGTAATTGAGTTAAATATATAAATTAAAGCATCTCATTTAGAATTCTACTTTATCGAATCGTGTTAAATTTAAAACATGTTCGTTTCAATAATCTTCTATGTAGAACATATTTTATTAAGCCATATTTGTGTACGAGCAATGCTACTATTTTTCAATTAGCAGCAGAATTCCATATACATACAATTCCCATGTACCTACAATTACATAGCTAGAAACCACAACTACTGCACCAAGCATGAAAACGCAAATCAATCATCTAATCATTAAATCAAGCTGTTCCTTTGCCATGGAGGAATTACAGTAATCATTGGCTTCAAACGCCCTCGCCCTCCGTTGAGGTTCAATTAGCATAACAAAGGATGCGCACTCAGCTGGCTACATATTGATATGTATGTGTGTGCGTGTAGACGCAGATGTGAGTAGTTGGCATACTCGTAACGGAATCAATAACAAAAACACAAATTTATTGGCGTACACTTTTGAATTGAGTTCATTTATCAGCCCCAAATTCAGAGTTCAAGTGCGCCCACCAATTAGGGTTTCTGGTGGCAATGCCCCTAGCTCACATCGTACTACATACAAATGTATTGAAATTTCAGCAGAAATTTTTGTTTCAATTGTGTTCATTGATTATTAATGAACGTCTACATTTTGTGAACCCGGACACTATCTAAAAAAAATTTAATTTGCTAGTTTATTGTATTGATTAAATAAGTTTTAGAGTTGTTGTTAGTGAAAAATAGCAATTAATTAATGGACATCGAATGGAAATTAAGTGTTAGACAGGATGTCAGCGATATGCTAGCAGTATTATGACAAAGAGTTTCGATTAATATGCCACTTTGCTAGAAATATCTAGTTTGTAGAAGAGTTGTTGGGGGATTTTCGGTCATAATAAAAGTGTCAACTGATAACTAATATAAATTAAAAGCAATATATAATATGGTAATATTTTTCGAAATTTTTTGCTATGTAGCAATTACTAGTATATATATTAACACATAACAGAAATAGCCAAAAAAAAAATATTTTTCTATTTTTATGCTCTTGCAACACGTTGCTACAGAGTATAATAGTTTTGAGATAGATAAACGGGGTTAGTATTACAGATGGGCGAAATCGGACCGCACCCACAAACAGCTATTAATCAAAAATCTATAAAATACCATAACTAAGCTCCACAATAAGATGCGAGGCTGTTATTTAGTACAACGAATTTTTGTAATGGGGAACGGCATCAATGGTTTAACAAAGTTTAAAAAATTTAGAACTTTTTATCGTAAATATTGGTTAATCTGTAAGATATATTATAAAAACTCGGAGAGGATCTTTTTCTGATAATAGTATGTCTGTATGTCAAAAATGGGTTGAATCAAGTGAATAATTCCCTTAGCCAGCCCCCATATACATAATAGAAAGATTTTTGAACTTCCGGCTGACTTAATATCGCATAAATCGGCTAATAGGTGAGTTATCTTAATACGCGTTTTTTCCTAATTTTGGTGCATGAATGAATAAAATCGGCTGAAAACTTGCATTTTACCACATATAACCAATATCAGGATTTTCAACATATATATTGTGGATTGTATGTGAGGTACTATAATGAAACTCAGAGAGCACCTGTGTCTGTTAATAACATGTAGTAATGCCAAAAATAGATAAAATCGGGTTAATTCCACACCTATATCCCATATACCTAATACAAGATTTTCATATTTCCGGTAGACTTTATACCGTACCGTAAATGTGTAAAATTTGTTCAAGGATGTACGCAAACTCCCATATACTTACTATATACATATATACTTACTCGTACAATGATTTTCGTTTTTATAACAAAACTTGTAACGAATATGTCTTTGAATGCGTGAATTATATATTCATAAAATTGATTGGAAATATATTCTTGAGTATACCTTAGTAATGTCAAAAGTTTTTGCAATCAGCCCGGACCTTTTTTGCCCCCAATATACTGTATATAGTGGTTTCCGAATTATGTGATAATTTAGTGGACAAGCTTTCTTATGTATATTATTATGAAGGTATATCCCCGGCTTTGATCCTGGCAAGTTGCAAGAGTATTTAATGTTCAGTTTCGCCCGAACATCGCCCGAAAATCGCCCTTTCTTATCCAAATTTTTTTGATGATTTGCAAAATTTTACGCTTTGCCAATTGTTCACACCTCCATGGACTCATTAGAAGTGATTAAATTATAACTAAGTGTTGATTAGTTAAAAGCAAATTATTGTTTGACGTACTTGGAATAATTACATGCATGTGTTCAAATCAATATGTGCAGCTGCAAATGTTATGCAGTGATGTGTCGCAGTAATATCAACTAGTTATTAACTCTTTTGCAACTAGTTAACAACTACAAGCCAAGTCGACAGCCCATTTCCAAACATGTAATTGATTTACGGTTGCTATCCTACGAGATTTTAATTGTCAGATTTTGTCTAGTTCAGTTCATATCCTCACGAGCAATTTTGGTATAAATTTTGAGTTCTTCTTGTTTTTACTGAATAAATACGAGATTACTGACATAAGACTGATCAATTTCCAATCACAGCTAAAAATCGGTTCAGCTCTAGGTTGCGAATAATGTATTAAAAAAATAATAGAATTAACATTTAAATTTATTTTGTAATCGCGAAATTTTGATTTAAAAATTCTTAAATCCCATATTTTTGAATTGACATTTTTTTCGCGCTTACATTTCAATTCCAATTTTTAAACTTCGCAACCCTTTGTAGGTCTGATGCGTTGAGTGTTTTAAGCAAAAAGTTCTAGTTGCCAACCGGTCTCGGACTAGTCGAATGTTTCATTGCGCGTTAGCTGCGTATATGTTGTTGTTATAGGCAGGCATTATTGATTCATCAATATCATTGCATACATATTATTTGCATCTAATTACGACTTTTTTGCATTATGATCTGCTGTTTGGAAAACATTTATTTGTTTTTTTGTAAATAATATTTTTTTCTAGTTACTATTTTTTTTAAATTTTGTCATTACTTACCGACGGACAGCAGACAAATAAGAGCGCAGCATATTGCCCAATTTAGTAAATAAGTAAGCTGCATTTTCTAAAACACGGTTTGGTTATCTCAAATAGTCTTTATGTTTCGAATACTGTGGCAGCTTTTGTGGATTGCTATAACGCCGGTGGTTTTATTGAATTTGATGGCATATTTTTAGAGCTGCTTGACTTTATTGGTAACACTTGCTGCTTTTTATTGTTGATTGCTTAAATAATTCTGGAAGAAAAAAAAGTTTTCTCTAAGTATTATTAGAACTGAGAATTTATGAGCAATTAAGTAAAAGTTTTATGTTGAAGAGAAGAAAGAACACAGATTATAATGATTTTTCTCTAAACTGTTGTTTTTAACGCCTAAAAATACGCGAAATATACTTGTATGTACATATAGGAAATACACCGCCTTCGTAGCCAGCATTTTAGAAGAATTTTACCGTCGAAAGAGAGGGCAAAAGCGGCTGAACATTTTTCGATTCCGAGCAGTCTCCTTTAAATTGCAATGCTTTTTAGGGTTAACATAATCTTTTAAGCGATATATTGGTGATAAGGAATCGCCAATCCGAAACGCGAATGAGGCATGCAGATGAATTAGGTCGCATATATTGTTTACAAATTGGAGATTCGTTGAATTTTAGATTGAAGGAAGCTCTATCGCAAGACGATTGGATTAGGTCAGTACAGAAAGCGTTAGAGAACGGACCCTATGCAAGGTTTTACATAGGAAATTAATTACTATATTACAATCCCATCGGTGAGTTGTTAGTTGTACCTCCGGATATGGAGCAAAAGATTATAGAGTTAGCACACAGGCGGCATTTTGAGGCCAAAAAAACAAAAAAGCTTTTAAATAAAAATTATTACATACCAAAGCATATATTGAGTGTTTTATCGCAGATGCCAAGAGGGGGAATAATGAGCGTTATTGACTCCAATCGATAAGTCTCAAGAATAGTTAGGAATCTATCTTATAGACCACGTGGGTCCAGTTGCTGCAAGCTTCCGAACCGAACTTCGGCTGCAACAAAACTATAGCAGCCCTCATAGGTGCATTTCTTATAGCATAAAAGGGTATATAAAGATCTATATCTATGCTATAGTGGTCCGATTTTTCGGAGGTTATAGCATTGTCTTGGACAAAATGCGGTGTCGAATTTCATAGAGATATCTCCTCAAATACAAAAGTTTTCTATACAAGAACTCAATTTTGATCCTTCAGTTTGTGTTATACAATAACATATAGCTATATTCGAAATCTATTTGAAGTACGTGCTCTAAGGAATAAGCTGATGAGCACAATCGGTTCGTAATTTCATTGATTAACAAATGTAGATTTCATGGCCCTTCATTACTCTTATAAACATTTATGCACATATATTAGTGTAATTTGTATTCCCGTACATGCTCAGAACAAGTTCACGTCTCTGGCAATTCATTCTTTTCATATTCTTTGCCACTTATCCGACTTTATAGCGCAATTTGCTAATCTGAGGAAATATTTGCATATAAACTTTTGATGGCCACACCACCACAACCGCATTGTTAATCCCTAGATCCGTTAGCAATTTTCACACCCTCGCCAGTTACTCACCAGCTAACAAGAAGAAGCAAGAAGATACCAACAAATATACGGAAAATGATTGCATATGACACTAGCGGTACATAAGAGGTTTTTATTGTAAATGCACACATGCTTGACATAATCCGTTAATAAATATTTACAGCTTACTGGCAGCCAAGTCAGGTTGGAAAACACGAGTTGTGCAAAGTCAGAGCGAAATGCAAATTGTTCTGGGATATATGGCTTAATAACTAGCGGAAAATGGAAGAAGTGAAGTTGTGGAAAATTAAAAAAAATCTCTTTGCAAGGAAAAATCACTGAGAAATGAACGGTTAAAAATTTCAGTAAACTTATTGGGTATTGGTAAATAAGCAATGTACTATTTTTTTAAATATTATAAATTAGATATTTTTAACTTTTCTTGGTTCATGCGAGAGAGACATATTTAGAGTATATTCATGCCAAATGACATTAAAATGGCTGTAACTTTGAAAAAAATTTTAATGTTGAAGAGATACTTCTACCCTAAACAGGTATATTAAGTTTTTAACACCCAAAATTTAGCTATGCTCGTCTGTCTGTATATACAAACTAAACGATCCGAATCACGTGCTTGTATGGATAGATTTTTCATTTGGCATGATATCTTCGCGAAATTTTGCGTGGATTATTGGTTAGGGCAAAGGTGTAATCTCCAATATTCCAAATTGTGAAAATTGGATCACTATTGCTTAAAGCTGCTAGCTGACCGATCCAAATCAAGTTGTTATAGTGTTACTTTGGTATTTGGGAAGAGTATTATAGCTTCTTTGCAGCCGAAATTAACGTTTATTCTTGTTTTAAGTATCAAGACCATTGGAATTTAAAACAAATTATTATTTTTTTTTATATTTCAGACCAGATTACCACATAAGTTCAAATATTTATTTAAATTAGATATAAGCTCCGTAAAACTTCATACTTTATATCGCATTGCAGGAACTAATAATGCCAACCGAGCAACCATAAACAAGATTTATTTCTTAATTGGCTATATTGTGTCTACTATTCCGGGAACAATTCCAGCTAGATTAATGTGCACACAACTTTAACGAATAAACAATGCGGGCGCACACATGCACATGCACTGGCTTATGTGGGGATGTGCAACAATGCACACTTTTCAACGAATTCGTGTGTTTGTAATTGTAACTGTCCCCGAGAAAAAATGACATGCAACAAAATGCGTTGACTTGGATTTAGCGGTAAATGTAGAAATGGTTGCAAAAGCAATTAAAAGTTTCATTTTAGTTTGCCTACAATTCGCTTGGAGGGAAATGGGTGCGGAGAATTAATGATGGCAAAAGAATTGTAAATAAAAACAGCATGCTAGTGGAAAAATGCAATTGGAAATGGATGCAAAAAGTGATGATACGAATGTACAACTCACTTAAAATTCTGCAACTGTACCTTGAATAATAATTTTTTATTTGTATTCAATTACAGACTTAATTACTGAAGTCTCGTTGAATATTTCGCAGACGAACTTTGTAAGAAATGAAGGCCTTTTTTTATATTTTATGTCCCGATTATATCGGATTGGAAACAAGTTGGGTTTCCGTTGTCCTCTAGCGTTCTTGTGCTGGACCTCTGAACTTTGCATGCCGCTTAGCAGGCGCTGTTCAACTAGCTCCTTTGCGACGCGAGATCTTTCTGGCTTAGTCCACTGAACTACTTGCTCTCAGTACGGTTCATCGTGCGCAATCGTAGGAGTTCTTACTTATCATTGTCCAATAAGCGTGCATGCGATAAGCCTGAAAATTTTGTCAGATGTTAACTGTCAAGGTTGTATGGAGGAAGCAATATGCCGACTATTAGTATTCAAAAGGAATGACATAAGAGTTGTAACAGGTCACTGTCTAATTGGCAGACATATCAGCAGACTGGGAACACCATATAATAACGGAGATAGAAAAATAAGATACTATACAAGTATATCATCTTCTAAGCAAATTCAAGGCTTTGTATAGGAAAAGAGTCGCAACAAATGGCCGAGAATTTCTTGCCGATGTCGCGAAGGTTGCATAAATACAACATTTTGTATTGAAGAAATTCATCAGGAGCACAGGGTGGTTCAGAGAGGACCACCGGGACCGGGCCTCCGAAAATCGTAGTCTCGTTGTCAGACAACTACTACGTACCTAACCAACTGTCAAAGTTGTATGGAGGAAATGTACAGGCAAGACTGAGGTTGAAATATCTCGGTAGTCATGTCATCGGGGAACCCTACGAAGTAGTTGGAATTAAAATCAGCCGCATTAACAAATTTGTGGCAGACTGAAGGCGTTTTTTCTTAATTTGTGAATTTCTTCGACCAACACTTATTAGTTTTTAGACATCACAATGGACCAGCGTTCTCAGCTGTCTCGAGTGGAATCCGTTTGTGGAACAACCTTTTAACTTAAGTTAACCTAACCTTGAGTTTATTGAAAACATGCGAAAATTCTATGCAATAATGAAAATGATTCAATAAATATTATGTTGCGTATACGCCATGCACAACCCCAATGGCTACCAGAAAGTGCACACTCACACTGGACTGTTTTGGGAAAAGTCAACATTATGTGTAGAATGTAAGCAATTTGTGTTTAATTGTATTGACTTGTAGTTTTTCCTACCACTTTTCTATTTTCAGAAATTGCCAATAAATGAACATGAAAACTGAAAATGAAAGCGAATCGGCTAACAATAACGATCAAGTGTAAATACGGAATGTTGACAATAGCAAAACCAGCGGTAATGGTTAGATTAGTGGTTGATTATGATTTTGATTGCATTGATGGCAGTGATTTTGGCCATGTAATATACTAATGGAATTAATATTGCATGGCATTGGTTTAAGTTGGTCCGTTATATTGCAGTTTACATTCAGCTGGCGTGCATTTGCATGTGTATGCGTGTGTGTCTGTTGCCTCGAAGTACATAGTTTCCGCACAATGTTTGTTGGCGCTCAACACTTCTAGAACAATTGCAAATGTTGACAGCAGCGCTTGTTAGGTGATTATCATAAAATTGTATGCGTTGAACGCATAGTTCCAGTTTGGTATTTGCAGTAGATGTCATTTTTGCAGTTCATGGCAGCAGAGGGGAAAAAACATGAAAAAAACTGAAATTTTTTTGCTATGCAAAACCTTAAAATTTCGTAACACAAGCGAAAATACTTTGATTTTTAGCAGGTGCTTAGCGGAGCGAAATACTCACATGCTTAATAGAGAAAGGAGAAATTTTATGGTATAGATTATTTAAAACTAAGCCACTTAAATTCTTGTAATTATTTCCTTTCAAATATTTGTCGTTGGTTAATAATTGCCGTGCAAAAACTTAAAGCAGACGCATCTCAATTTTGAATGCTGCGCGTTAAATTTTGAAGAGAAATAAAGTTCGTAAACTCTCCTATGGAGTACTATAGATTTGTATTGTATATTTCGAAATTATAGTTAGAAAACATAACAACCTTTTTGTGTTTCCTCATATAAGGTCTAGTAAAAAGAAATCCATTATTTTTCCACTAAATGGATTTGGTAATTTGTATCTTGCGTTGTATAAACGCAATCGGGTTGCGCTATATGGCATATGGCAAGATAAAATGTCGTCCTAAAAAACTTCTTAGACAGTTTTGTGAT